ATCAGAGCGTTCACCTTATGAACGCCTACACCAAGTTTGAACATTCTACCTCAATTAGAAGGAGAGTTATTGTGTGCCAAAGTCTCGACCAATCAAATTGCTTAATGCTCAGCTTACCCTGAGCAGAAAATGCTCATTATCGAACTTAGCCAAGGTATTTATGTGATAAAACTATACACCAACTTTCCACACTCTCACTTAAAGATACATTATGGGAGATAAGATAACGAGATGGCAGTTCTCGCTATAATAGTTAAAAACTAGATAGTGTAAAGGTAATTTGCTGAAACTTTCAGTCAAATTGATCCACTATGAGCCGAGAAAGAAGGGGGTGGAATTTTGGCATAGTCTCGGTCATCATTACTAAAATCATTATTATAAACAGCTTAGTCTCGATTATCCACTTTTATTGATTTAATTATCAACGGCCGTTAGCGGCATATAGGAATCTAATCCAGCCAACATCGAAGGCTAGCCTTGACATCGAGAGTTTATTATGGTCTGGATAAGTTAATTAATGTCTAATTGATAATTTAGATAACATTTCAGGCCTAAAGAAAGACTTGTAATAAGCAGATTTTGCTCTTGCATAATGCATGTTTAATTTGAACAAAAGTTATTGCGTCCCAAAGCATCAACCAAATTGCTTATCTCTGCTTACCCTAAGCAGAAAATTCTCACCTTCGAACTCCATCATGGCATTCACCTAATAAACATCTACGCCAAGTGTGAACATTCTAACTAAATTAGAATGAGGGTTATTGTGTTCCAAAGTCTCGACCAATCAAATTACTTATCGCTCTGCTTTATGGAAGGGTATAACTGCCAATATTAAATGCTCTGCTAAAATGAGAGAGAGAGAGAGAGAGGGGGTAACTTCCACTCGACACAAACTAGGTCATTTCGGGACTAACATATGGTTCAATTTTATTTCCATAATTCGCTTTCGCGTAGGGGTCTTTAGCAGTGGGAGGAAACCGGAGGACCCGGAGAAAACCCAAAGTCATATACCTCAAAGGCCAAAGTTAAATGTAAAACGTCAAATGCAATGTGTCAAATGCTCTGCTAAAATGAGAGGAGAGAGAGAGAGAGAGAGAGAGAGAGAGAGAGAGAGAGGGGTAACTTCCACTCGACACAAACTAGGTCATTTCGGGACTAACATATGGTTCAATTTTATTTCCATAATTCGTTTTCGCGTAGGGGTCTTTAGCAGTGGGAGGAAACCGGAGGACCCGGAGAAAACCCACGTGGTTGAACAGGCGACCCTACTCCTTGTCACGTACAACCAGGGATTCGAAACCACGCTAGTTGACTCAATGACAGACTTAATGATACAGCGCTCACGTGCTAACCACTAAGCCCCCCCCCCCCCTGCTAAAATGTCTTTTCTGTTTAAAAAGTACAATGTACAAAGTCTTAATACCGGTAATGATAAAGTCATATACCTCAAAGGCCAAAGTTAAATGTAAAACGTCAAATGCAATGTGTCAAATGCAAATGCTGTTTTTCTCATCACATTTTACATTTGAGTTCTATCGCATCTTATTTGTCCTTCACGCTTTCTACATAACATCTTACGCAGAGCACTAAGTTTGATATGCAAATGTAGGACATCACGTGACTTAACAACCTAGCACACTATAAGCCAGCACACTATAAGATATTTAGATTGTCTGCGATATCACCTCGGTCGAAGCGGACGTTAAATAAAGCTATTTCACACACACAAGATATTTACCACACGATATTGAGGCAATCAACATGGCAAACTATAAGAAATTCACTGGACGACCGTGCCTGTATTAAAATCATGTGATTGGTATGGTTAATCCATGCCTTTGACAAATAACATAAATTGACAGTATAGTCTATATTTAGCAATTAGGTTATTGTCGGACAGCGACACATTTCTTTCAACAAAAGAAGGAAGACTTTTCTTTCTCTGAAGTACGTAATTATGAATCTGCCAGGAAATAAAAACTGATAGATTCAAAGAGCCATAGAAACATATACTTTCCAGTGATGTATAACACGGTAACTGGAGTTTCGTATTAAGGCCCGTATTTTTGACATTTTAAACCCTCGCCACCGCCCTCACACTCGCTCTAAATTTTAGTACAGGCTAATTAACTTTAATCCATTTTTATACGCCCATATTTTCATGTGGACGTATATTGTCGTCGCCCCTGTTTGTCCGTCCGTCCGGACGTCTGTCCACAATTTGTTTGTGGACACTCGACAAGTCACAATTTTTATCCGATTTCAACGAAACTTGAAATATAGGTTTATCTCTCTAAGATCTCGGTGCCTTTCGATATTGGCATGTATCGGACCGTAACTTCATGGATTATGGCCCCTGATTGTATGAAAAATCGCGTTTTTAGTTTGTGGACACTCTAGAGGTCACAATTTTGATCTGATTTTGATGAAACTTGAAATGCATGTTAATAATCCAACGATCTTGGTTCCTTTCGATATTCGCGCATATCGGATCGTAACTTCCTGAATTATGGCTCCTGATTGTACGAAAATCGCGTTTTTAGCTTGTGGTCCCTCTGAAGGTTACAGTTATTATCTAATTTTAAAAACCGTTTGAATATATCACCGTTACACCGTAATAAAGGTTGAGTTGAAATTTCGTGAAAATTGGACCAAAACTGTTGGACAAAATGGCTGTTGTTGTACGCGAATAGTGTAAAAATATGGTTATCAAGGTTGTGGACCCTGTAGAGGTCACAATTTTAATGCGATTTTGATGTAACTTGAAATGCATGTTTATACCCCAAAGATCTCGGTTCCTTTCGATATTTGCGCATATGGAATTGTAACTTCATGAATTATGGCCCTTGATTATAGGAAAAATCACTTTCTTTTTAGCTTGTTCTCTATCCATCTCTCGAAAATGTGGGCGGATCCTGCCTGACAGCCGCTGGTTTAAAAAAAAGTATAATCATTGTGCCCAACAAATAATGAATATACATGTAGGCTACTTAAAGGGAGGAAAGAGTATACATCAACGTGCTTTTCACTGATATGTAACATATAGTGAATATCGCATTATGACCCTATTTTGACATTGCATACCTTCGCCCTCTCCGTAAACATGGTAATATAGTTTAGTACCACCCAAATTTGATTGTTTTTTCAAGGTAAGTAAATTTCTTATAGTGTGCCAGGTTGATTTCCCCCTTATCGTGTGCTGGCTGATATGTTAATAAGTCACGTGATATCCAAATTTTGCATATCATAGTTAGTGCTCTGCGTAAGATGCTATGTAGAAAGCGTGACGATCAAATGAATTGCGGCAGAACAGAAATGTAAAATGTAATGGGGGAAATGTAAATGTAGACACGCCAATAAAACAGCCATTTCCAATCAAACATTTGTCATTTGACAAATTACATTTGAAGTTTTACATTTAACTTTAGCCTTAGAGGTATTTTGACTTTATCATTGCCGGTTTCAGGACCTTGTACATTGTACTTTTTACATATAATCAATGGAAAAGACATTGCAGCAGAGCATTTAATATTGGCAGCGACACCCTTCCATACTGCTTACCCTGAGCAGAAAATGCTCATTATCGAACTTAGTCAAGGTATTGATGTAATAAAACTATACATCAAGTGTCCTCACTCTCACTTAATTAGAATTAAAGTCATCGTGTCCCAAAGCATCAACCAATCAAATTGCGTATCTCTGCTTACCCTAAGCAGAAATTCTCATCTTCGAATTCCATCAAGGCATTGACATAATAAACACCTACGCCAAGTGTAAACATTCTAGCTCTATAAGAATCAGAGTTATTGTGTTCCAAAGTCTCGACAAATCAAATTCACTCTGCTAACCCTGAGAAGAAAATGCTCATTATCGAACTTAGTCAAGTTATTGATGTAATGAAACTATAATATACATCAAATTTCACCACTCTCACTTAATTAGAACTAAAGTTATCGTGTCCCAAAGCATCAACCAATCAAATTGCTTATCTCTGCTTACCCCCCCCCAAGCAGAAAATGCTCATCTTCAAACTCCATCAAGGCATTGACCTAATAAACACTACATCAAGTTTGAGAGAGAGAGAGAGAAATGGGGTTTAACGTCCACTCGACACAAACTAGGTCATTTCGGGAATAACATATGGTTTTTAATTTTTTTACATAATTCGCTTGCGCGTAGGGGTCTTTAGCAGTGGGAGGAAACCGGAGAAAACCCATGAGGTTGGACAGGCAACCCTACTCCTTGCCACGTACAACCGGGGATTCGAAACCACGCCAGTCCACTCAATGACAGACTTTATGATACAGCGCGCGCACGCTAACCATTCAGCCATCCAACCCCCCTACATCAAGTTTGAACATTCTAGCTCAATTAGAAAGAGAGCTATTGTGTTTCAAAGTCTCGGCTGATCAAATTACCCCGAGCAGAAAGTGCTCATTATCGAACACCCCGAGCAGAAAGTGCTCATTATCGAACTTAGTCAAGGTATTGATGTAATGAAATTAAACACCAGGTTTCATCACTCTCACATAATTAGAACTAAAGTTATCGTGTCCCAAACATCAACCAATCAAATTGTTTATCCCTGGGCTTACCCTAAGCAGAAAATGCTGATCTTCGAACTCCATCAAGGCATTCACCTAATAAACACCTACACCAAGTTTGAACATTCTAGCTCAATTAGGAGAGTTATTGTATCCCACATAGTGTGACGGACAGACAGACAGACCAATTTTAATAATCCCCTGCTTTCTTCGAAAGACGGGGGACAAATAAAACACTACTCTGAAGTAATTACATGCACTAACATAACCAACTCATATTCTTGCCAATGGGTAGAGGGTGATTCAGTGCTGAAGACCCAACATATGACTTACTGCTGCGAAAAAATTAATATTACAACAACAATTATGTTGATATTTGTAATATATCTTGTGCAATGACATAGTTTTTCGATGTTGGGGACAAATGCAAGAAAATATAAGAAAGATAGAAATGGCTTCCTTGTAAAACATTTTTATTATTTTAATATTTATTTATTTATATATATATTACTACATACTTTCTTTCATTGGGTAATGATTTTATTTATATTCACTGCGTGTCCATACAAATAATCATCAAACCAAGACACACTGGTTTGACACAGACAAGCTTTAACAAAATGACCAATTTCAACAACGATTGATCGTGATGTAGGCATGGACCTTACAATACATCATAATGTCCATGATGTAGGTTAGAAAATTGTCTGATGATGTCAATTACATATAACCGACCTGAGGTATATTTATTTCATTTTTAAAATTAACTGACAGTGCTGTCGGTCAAACCATAGGCAGTGGCGAAGTTCCCGGGGGGCTGGTGGGGTGCTGAACATATTTTAGGGATTAATATGATAAAGATAGGTTGCCAGGCAATGAAACATACGCCCACAGCAGCTAAATCGCCCGAGCGGTTGACAAGGGTTGTCGCATATTTATTCCTTTGTAGGTAATTGCGGGCCTTTACAAGACAGTTCCACCCAGATCAGATTACAATTTTTGCCGTTTGAGGGTTCACAAGGTTCTACAAACTGAAACGAGGGTCTCAACTCTGGAAGTAATCTACAGAAATTGTTGAAATTTGACAGGATTTTTTGTTTTACTAGTTTAAATGATGCATATAAATTTCATACAGATTAGATGATCACTTTTGTCACAAGGGTCACAACTCTAGAAATTATTGACGGAAATTGCTGAAATTCAATAGACCTCTGTTTCACAAATTTAAATGATGCATATAAATTTCATGCATATTGGATGATAACTTTCATCAATCGGGCATTAACAAGGTTGAACAAAGTGAAACAAGGGCCATAACTCTAGAAGTAATAAACGGAAATTAATGAAATTCAATAGGATTCTTCTCTTTACTAATTTAAATGACGCATGCAAATTTCATACAGATCGGCAGATAACTTTTGATGTTAGAGCGTTCACAAGGTTCAATAAAGTGAAACAAGGGCCAAAACTCTAGACGTAATAAACAGAAATTGCTGAAATTCAATAGGCTTCTTCGTTTCACTAATTTAAATAATGCATATAAATTTCCGAAAGATCGGATGATAACTTTCGGCGTTAGAGTGTTCACAATGTTCAATAAAGTGAAACAAGGGCCATAACTCTAGACATAATGAACAGAAATATTGAAATTGAATAGGTTTCTTCATTTCACTAATTTAAATCATGCATATAAATTTCACAAAGATTGGGTGATAACTTTTGGCGTTAGAGCGTTCACAAGGTTCAGTAAAGTGAAACAAGGGCCATAACTCTAGATGTAATAAACGGAAATTGCTGAAATTCAATAGGCTTCTTCGTTTCACTAATTTAAATAATGCATATAAATTTCAGAAAGATAGGATGATAACTTTTGGCGTTAGGGCGTTCAACAAAGTGAAACAAGGGTCATAACTCTAGACGTAATAAACGGAAATTATTGAAATTAAATAGGCTTCTTCATCTCACTAATGCAAACAACATATATCAATTTTAAAACAACTGGATGATAACTTTTGGCGTTAAAGCGTTCACAAGAAATTGTGGACGACAGACAGACCGACAGACAGACGGATGGGGCGACGGCAATATACGTCCACATTTCTATGTGGGTTTATAAAAAGGGGATTATTTGGGGCAAGGTGGTCAAGTGTAGGAAGAATGACTCAAATGGCCTACCCAAAAATATATGTTCCCTGCCTTTGGTATCAATCCTAAATTACAGCAACTGTTTCATTTAGTACAAATTATCCAATTGAAATTCGTCATTTATTACAAAATACATAGACTAACAAAACAAAAACAGTATTTAAATGTGTAAAAAAGCTACGGTTAGTTAACTTTTGAAAAAATTATAAAAAAAACCCCAACAAATATCAAGCAAAAAAACTAACACATGTACGTGATATTAACAGAGAAGTAAAATGATGTAAATATCAAACATAATGTGTTTTTTATTAAATAATGAAGGCTTTGAGCTACTAATTAAAACTACTACTGAGTGATTCTTTAAATATCTGGATCACAGGCTAGGTTGAACATTACTTAATTTCACAATATAAATGAATAATGAGCTATACTTGAAAAAGATGACTTAAGCTAAGATTTTAAATCAATACTTTGATTAAAATTGATTGGTAAGCCAATGGGTCGGGTACATTATACCAGTAGTTGACATTCTGGGATATTACTTCAGTGGAAACGGGCGTTAAATAAAGCTATTTCTCACACACAATTCAAGCAAAATCATTGTTAATTGTAATTGTTCAGATAGGTAGTTGCAGACTGAAGAACCTGTGGATTTGTATATGGAAGTTTTATTTGTCTTCAGAATATTACTCCAATTTGCATCTTTATACACAGGAATATACATAAACCCGGTTTTGCTCGATTTTGTCATTTGTATGTTGTTTTCCTTTGTCATTTAGTTTCCAATTTGTAAATTTGTCTGATTTATCTTTGCCTTGATTTAATGAGTCCCCCCCCCCCCCCCCCCCCAACAGACTAGTGATATAATTACGATTAAACAATCTACCAAACATAAAGATGATTTCTGGACTAGGGTGGACTTGACAGGGATGGAGTTTCTTATTAATGTATTTATAAGAAGAGTGGATGATGTGCAAAAATAAATATCTTTGAATGGTAGATCAAACCAGTTTGTGAACAAACAATACTTCAACCTTATTTAAATTCATTTAGCATTCTTTAAGTCATATCTGGTTACCATGGCTACATGTATAAATAAAATCAAAAACTTTTAAAATCAAGCCGATTCATCATACCGGTATTCTGTTATCTTCTCTCCCAAAAAGAATTGTTATCATATGCAATACAAAAGTATAGCAACACAACAGCCAATGAAATTGTGATGATGTTAGAACACTAAACACAAAAACAACAATATTAAAACTATACCCACAAGTATGAATACGAGTTGGTGAAGGTGAATATAAAATGACTTTTGACAATAAATATACTGAATATTGGACTAAAATAATAGATCGAAATATCCCCCACCATACAAAAACCTCTGATTTTCTTTTTGTTAGGCAAGAGATATTCACAGTTCACAAAGCCACATTTGGATATACAGGAACAACCATCATGACTGATAGCCACAAACTCCAACCATCATTGCTGATAGCTGCACACTCCATCCATCATTGCCTATACATCTAAAGATGTAAATGAATCATGATCAACTTGTCTCCAATTCTGTATCTAACGTACTTTTCATGAAAACTGGATTAAATGTTTGACAGAAGCATCAACCAACTGGTTATTTTTCACAGCTACCAGACAAATAATTGTGCAGTTAATACTTAGTAGTTTAACACCTAAGACACTCCTTTTTAGAGTTATCTCCCATTATTCTCCAGACTCGCTAATTTTTTAGCACAGCAGGTCAAGCTTTAAATTGTTTATGTTTACAATAGCATAAATACAAGCAGGCCACCATCCTATATTTTCTAGGTTAGAATAGGATGAGATTGGGCTTAATTTATTTTGATATAAATTAGCTAGTCTTTTATGCGAGAACAATGTTCCAAAGCACATATTACTGCTAATTACAGGATAACTACTTCCTATTTTAGCTTGTGAATATACAACAGAAATATGCATTAAAAACAGTGTGTCTAACAAATGGTCACATTTAATGCAATAATTAATTTCTTGTTGGCATTATTTTCTTGTTTTATACTTAATTCTGTGTTTGTCTTGATTTCAACCATGTTTAAAAATTGGAAAGCTTTTTAATGTTTTCAGTAAAATTTAATGTGTATATGATACATGTATATATATATGCAGACTCTGACACTGTACAGCAATATTCTGATATATGTTGATATCTATCATAGTTTAACAAATAATGTATATCTTACAAATGAGCACGAAGTATATAATTTATATCTCAATATTCTAAAAACATTGGATTTTTGTATTTGAGTATACAGTTATTAGCCAAGATGACACAACTTCAACATTTATGGACTGTTTCAACAATTGCACTTTTTTACATTGTTTAATGCAATATGAATATATGATGAATTAAAATCAGAATAAAATTACGGTATATCGGACTCTTGTGATATATCTAAACATCACGATAAATAATATAAACATAATGTATATAATTACTCCACATAAATTATTTGTCCAATCAGAAATGTAACATAATGCATTGAATAACAGAACAAATAATATTTGATGTGTGTTATTTTGCTTTGTGAAATTTGTTAACAGTAACAGAATAGTCATGCACAGTGTAACAGGTCAAGATGTAATACAGTGTTTCATAAACATTGCCATAGCTGCACAATGTGACATGTCAAGATATATTACAGTGTTTCATAATATAATAATTGCACAAAGTAATTTTTTATCAACATGTGTTACACAAACATTGCCACAGCTGCACAGTGCCTATGTGTATACAGTGTTTCATAAATAGTGCCACAATTGCACAGTGTCAATATGTATAACAGCGTTTCATAAACAATACCACAACTGCAGTGTCAACACGTATTACAGTTTTTAATACACAATGTCACAGCTGCACAGTGTCAACATGTATTACAATGTTTTATAAACAATGTCACAGCTGCAGTGTCAACATGTAATACAGTGTTTCATAAAAAAAAATGCCACAACTGCACAGTGTGACCATGTATTACAGTGTTTCATAAAGAATGCCACAACTGCACAGTGTACGATGTACTGTATAATGCAAACATTATGTATGGACAATGTTCTAAATGACATGATAGCATTTACACAGATTATTTCCTAGATGCTCTCTACACATTCACTGTGGCATCATTATACATGATAACCATTCATTTAAAGCTGTTTAGAGTGGCACTTTCCTTATACTATGTCAGTCTTAATTCCATGATATCGTGCATATACATCAGAACCTTACTTAACATATAATAATAACATTGCCACCAACATGCCCAATAATAACTGGTATTAATGTACTGTTTTGTAGTGAATTTCACAATGTGTTTACTTTACATGACATGTCTAATATTTAATAGAATGAATAAAATAATAATCTAGTGCACAGTTCCTATATATACATATTATTTTAACATAGGTCAAAGGTCAACATCTTAAATAATGATCACAAATTATGATTGAAAATGACACTTTCAAGTCCTATTCCTTGTTGTCAAGGAAACACATCCTCAAAAATATGTCCATTACATCATGATCGTAGCACAACGGATGATAACTATAAACAAGTTTATCATTTGATGACTTAAGTCGACTATAACAGCCAAAGAAAAGCCACAGAAAAGAGTCACGTGATAACATAACCGAAAACAGGAATTAGCATCATCAATATGAGGCGTAGTGATAATAATGAAGATTCAGAGTTTGTCTTTAGCAGGAACCCAGATAACAGGACCTGACTGATCTCGTATCACTTCCTTCACTCGTGCATAGATCTCATCTCCTGTATCTCCTTGTACCACAGCTGTAATATACACAAACATAGTTAAATAATAGACACAGAATCAACATGACATTTTCTACTAATATTGTAACAAAATGTATACCATGGTTGGCTTTTGGATGAAGAAAACAGGTCAAAACTCACACTGTGGTACCAAAATATATCCATTATTTAACTTTACTTTATATTTCCTTATATAATTTTCATACTAATGATAACTGCACGATAATATACCCAGGTGACCACATAATTGCCATTATTTTCTGTCAACATGGTGGTGCCGGCTTGGTATGATTGGATCACAGATATTCTAAAATCCAGATATTTTAGTTTAACGCAAGAAATACAGTAGAATCTGCATTAAGCAGCCACCCATGGGAATTTTCACGACTGACCGCTTAACGGGAGTGGCCTCTTAATAAAATTTCAGTGTTTTTTGTGCTGACATAATATAAATATTATGCTTGGATGCATTGGAAGCAAACATCAATACTTGCATCGGTAAATTTGACGGTCTCTTGCGCCGAACGAAAATTCTTTACTCAAGTCTCAGACATAACTTCTGTAAACTTGTCATTTTGTACCAACCTTCGATACTACTGTCTACCATTGTGATGCATTTGATAATATTTATCCATTTTTGTAAAGAAAATCGATGAATTGATTTTATTTTATCAAAAAAGCACATGAACAAAAAATCATCGCTGATTTCATCACCTATTTACAGGGGGTGTAACTCTGTATGTAATATTATAGGAGGCGCTAAAACATCTGTTAAACAACAAAGTGGCAATGGAAAAGAGATACTAGATGATCGTGACAAAACTCAGTACTTTTATTTTATTCAATCAGTATCAAATAATGTGTCGTTAATTAACAGATAATTCCGGGTTGATTGTTATTTTTACATTTCTTTTTACCTGATCAGTGGGGGTCCAGTTAATTAACTAGTACTACTCACGGGATTAGCGGGGGTGTTACAAAGAACGACAAGATGGTATCATTCAACAATGGACGTTGAATAGACGATGTTTTGTTGAATTTATTAGTAAAATAGTGACCGCTGGCCGTGTTAGAGGAGTGACCGTTGAATAAAGAGATGAAACAATAGAATTTTTTTACGGGGGGAATCTATCGTGACCGCTTACAAGGAGATGTCGCGGAATAGGAGTGGCTGCTCATACAGATTCTACTGAGTACTGTATTACAAAATTACTCCACTTACCAGTAAAATACTCTCCAAATTCCTGCTCTAATTTTAATGCTCGTTCGTACGTTTTTCTTGCTTGTTCTTCCGTTATTCTTTTATTCATTTCCCTAAAATAAAATCTAATTTATTAAAAAGCAGTTTTCTGAAAAAAAAGTATCATTTTTTTCTACTGATTTTTTTTATTTCATCAATATTGCTTTTTATTAAGTATTTGGTCTTGGTAACAAATCTTTGCACATATTTTTTTATTTAACTTTTTTTCTCATTGTCACAGTATCACACTTCATTACAGAATACTAGGTTTTGTCAGAAACAAATAATAACATATATAACTAGATGTGTTATATACTGGTAATTACACAGCGTTGCATGTGTGTAATATCTACATTTTTCTAACATCCATAATAACAACATAATCATTAGTTGTCAAATTCATCATTAAATTCAGCACCAAATAGCGCCATTAAATTCCTTGCTAAAAAAAAACCCCTGGTTATTGTGGATTTATTACAAATCATTTCAACCCATTGGTTTCCTATATACAGCACCCCCCCCCCCCCCCAAACAAATATTTCTTTTACATGTATATATAGATAATAACAAATGAAATGAGGTTTAACATCCTATGCCATACAGTCTGCTATGAGGGATATTTTGCCTGGACAGCAGCACTAGGGCCTACTCTTATATCGAATTCCAACTGCCAAGGGATCTTTAATGTGCATGCCAATTTGTACAAGGGACCTCGGTTTTTTTTTTGTCCCAGCCTAACGACCATATGTTGTACCTTGCCAGGCTCTCTGTCCTGCACCACTGACGTCTTACTCACTGAGCCTACATGGCTCCCTTACCGGTAATAACAAATGAAAACTTACATAATAGAATCAATTGATTTAGGTTTAATAAAGATGGCAATTGGATATAATCCAGCTACTTGAAGACGTTTTATGGCATTTCCACTAACATCTAAAATACAATGCTTTCCCTGAAAATTCAAGAATAAAAATATTGTTTACAACTGACTAATCGCTATTTTCTACCACTGGTAAAACTAATCGCTATTCCTTACCAATGGTAAAACTGACTAATCGCTATCATTTACCAATCCTTACCAATGGTTAAACTGACTAATCGCTATCATTTACCAATGGTAAAACTGACTAATCGCAATCATTTACCAGTGGTAAAAGCTACTAATTGCTATCATTTATCAACGGTAAAACCAGAATGAAACACATCCCACACTACCAGCTATATAAGTTCCATCCCTTGAAATGTATTTTCTGGAAATGATTTCTCTGGATTCAATGAACAGTGACAAAACTGACAAGTGAAAAATAAGGACAACAAAGCATGTGCCAGCTTCCTGTATCACTGAAATGTACTTTTATCATCATCAAATTTGAACATCCCCCAAGTGTCCCCAAACTTGGGCATGCTCACAAACTTGTAAATGTAACCAATCTGCACCATGTTTAAACCAATGGCCATGGTAGGACAAGAATTCTTTTGTGAGTGAGTGTAATTTATTGGTTTAATTATTTTTTAAATTTCAGTTCCTGTAATAAGTAACCTAAATCTATATGAAAATTTGTCTCTAAGTTGGCTTGCAAATCTCTGAGTCCTTCTATGATTGATATTTTAATTTTTATTGAAGAACTTACTACTTCAGCCACTTCTTTAACAGAAGCTACACTAGTTCCGTACAGATTATCGTTGTAGACTCCAGCCTCTATAAATAAATGATTCTGTATATCTCTCTCCATCTGTTCTCTCGATTCCACAAAATGATAATCTCTGGAATCATGTTCATAATCTCTCGGTGTTCGGGTTGTATCTAAAATATTATATCTAACAATTATTTATGAATTTTTTCAACAATTATGTCTATTACAAATTCTGAAATTCCCTGACAATTTTTGATACATGATAAATACACAACAAATAAAATTTCAACTTACGTGGAACACAGCTGCCAAATTTATCGGGAAACTCAGACATTAAATCATCATTTATTCTATCTTTTAACGGTCCCAGAATAATTACAGGTCGAGTATATTTTACTGTAAATACAATAATATTAACATCTATAGAATTCAACCAATATTAAAACTAGACTTACACATTTTCATTCTTTTAGTACATATTATACATTTGTATTTGTATTAACTATATCCCTTTAAAGATACATTTTCTCAAAGCGCGTGATCCTAAATATAACCAGTGATTTGAAAAGATAGTTTGCCAGGCAACGTAACATACGCCCACAGCAGCTAACTTATCCGGGCAGTCAACAAGAGTTGTCGCATATTTTTTACTTTCTTTCGGTAATGAAACATTTATAATGCACTAAAATCTGATTAAAAGTAACAACTCATTAAGTAATTATCAGAAAATCATTAGAATTTGTTTGGTTTTTATAAAGTTCTGCCCCATGCTAACGTTTAGTATACAAAATATTTAATATTTTTTACTTTCTTTTGGTAATGAAACATTTATAATGCACTAAAATCTGATTAAAAGTAACAACTCATTAAGTAATTATCAGAAAATCATTAGAATTTGTTTGGTTTTTATAAAGTTCTGCCCCATGCTAACGTTTAGTATACAAAATATTTAATATCATGGATTTAGCTGTTAAGTTATGAAAATTCATTGAAAATCAATATACTTGTTTGTCTGAAGACCCTAAACTCTGTGTACCAATCTGAAGTCAATCAGATATTAACTTTGGCTTCTAGAGCGTCCACAAGATATTTTGAAGTGATCAAGGGCCACAACTCTGGCAGTAATTTTCAGAAATCTCTGAAAATCAATAGGCTTCTTTGTTTCACAACCTTAAACACTGCGCATAAATTTAAAGTCAATCGGTTCTTAACTTTAGCCTCTAGAGCGTTCACCAGCAATTGTGGACGACGGACGGATGGGGGCGACGACAATATACGACCACATTTCAATGTGGGCGTATAAAAATGAATCCTGGACATATCCCCAAAACAGACATACTTAACCTAATGTGAAAAATATATTTGTACTTCAAGGGATTACAAATTTTTATTTATCGTAGTTACCATATTGCAAAACAATAAAAAGATAAGCTCTGTGTTTTACCGGGCAGTGGCCCCCCCAAAATGTCATAAGGGTTTAATTGGTATGCAATTTTGTTTTTTCTGACAATTATTATAAGTATCAGACCTTCAGATGAAAATAGGTTTAGAGATCTGAATAGATGATTATGTTGAAACATCTTTAAATCCATAAACCTATTAAAATTATTTTAAATACCGGGTATATACAATGGTTCTAAAAATTTATTTATTATAATATCACGAACATCATGTGAAACCTCATATATATTGCTAATTTTTTTACTTCATAAAAAATCTATAATAAGATGTTTCTACAAGAAAACTTACGATCTTGTTGTACAACAGCTTCATATGATAAAATAGGTTCAAATCCCCCTGAAACAAAAAACAAATATGTAAACATTATATAAGAAAATAATATTTTCTCCTACAGAAATCACTGACACTGGTGTCACATTCGAACATCAACAAGATTGTATCAATCAAATACTACTATTATTGTGGTAGTCAAAGACAATCCATAAAACTCCAGCATTTTATTAGGTCAGCAGAAAACTGAGGGAAACCGTTCACTTCAAGAAAGAATCACTAGCAATAACTGCAGGCATATATTTTCAAACTTCTCCAAGCTATAGATAGAAAGAAAGTGATTGAACGTTCCACTTAGAAGACCATTGGTTTCAACTTCTAATCTGTCACAAGGTAGGGCTTGGAACTGGGAAAGTTTTCAGAATCAAATAATCAAATATTGCTTAAGCGGTGGACACTCTAGTCAAATGATTCGGCCGAATCAATCGGTGTCAAAATTTGCCTAGTATGTCCAAGTGTCATTTGGACGAACTATTCATCATCCACTCATATCGAGAAGTCACGTGAATGAAGATGTAGTTGCCGCCATGTTTAATCAAGTGACGTGAAAGGTGATGCAATCGACTGGTGAATCGGGCATTCGCCTAGTGTGGGCACCCATTCGGCCGAATAAAATTTGGTGCCGATTAATCTGGCCGAATGATTCGGCTAATGTGTCCACTATGCTGTTAAAAATGGATATAATTGCATATCAAAACAAGATATTAACTTTTCTAGGTTTTTTTATTGTTTTTGATGTGTTTGTATGCTGAACTGTCAGTTCACTGACAATTAAAAGCTTACTGCAAAACTGAATGATAATCGATTCAATCGAGATTAATATTATGGTAGATTTTTTTGTATATCCTTTGTCAATACTCCATGCTTTGACCAAACAACCTAAGGATGTAGATTAGGCTGTTAATAATAATCAAAATTTTCACTACCAGTCATTTTTGATAACACACGAAAACTTTGCAAAGTAAATCCATATTTCATATTTTTTATTCATGGTAGGGTATTGTGAATTCAAGTGTCTATACCAATTTGTCAGCAATGGGGTACATAAAAAATTATATATTGGATTTAAAAATGAAATATTAGTAAGGCTTATGATAATTATTTATTAATTAAATATTCCCTTTTGGCTACTTAAATAATCGAAATACCTGAATTGGCCGTAGAAAAACCATTCCAGTGGCTGACACGTAATTACCATGTGCTCTATAGAAAACACACTGACCTGGATAATTATGAGTTGTAATACAACAACTTCGATATGAAGATAAATATATAATTATCGACAGCATATATCTCACATTGATTGGTTTTAGACCATCTCTTACAGCATTACGGACTCCAGAAATGTGACGTAAATCCCAATAATGAATAACTGAATAACTAACGAATAACTAACTTCACAGCTAGTGACACTAGCACCCCCTAGAATATCGTCGTGTATAAGAGTTACCATATATACACAACATTTTTGTTAACACATGGAATTATCAATATTGCTACACAATAGCACTGGAATATGTATTTTCTTAATTTTTCGGTAAGCAAGTTAACTAATCTCTAGATTTTATTTCTACAATTCCCACAAGGCCGTAATACCGCTATAAAAATTATAATGCATTTTTCTCCCAACACATACGTTGTTGAGGATTTACGTAATTTCTATGCTGTTTTTATTTAATATGATAGTTGGTTGGATTCGAAGAGCAGTACTTCATATTAATTGCCTTTTTTTCGAAGATCATAATGATCTTGTTTACATCGTGCGTGACTGTAATAGCGGTTAGCCGCTTTGTTCTAGAAAATTCTTATGACACGTGGACAATATGTGATTGACTAAGAATGGACCGCTTCATCATCAATTATCAACACAACACTCAGTATAATCTATTGACGACTATGTATACAACTCTATAACATCAATCATGAGATTATGTGGCTTCTATATGTGCGCATTAATCTGCACGGGCCGTACAAATTTATAGTAACATAGCGGAGGTCGATCGTAGCCATGTTTGAAAATTGGGTTTTGAAAAAAAAGGTTATTTTTCCGACCTGCAAAATGACCGATGGGTCAGATCTAGTTGCAGTCATTTTCCATAGCCTTCGGTCCCGACCGGCATATACAGCTGACGTGGAACCCATGGTAGCAACCATTTAAACCACCCACAGTGCTAGGAATTAATTATCTCATCGATGAATGACAATCTGATTAAAATACAGATATATATTTCGTTTCGTTTTTTATACTTTCGATGACATATTTACGTGTTTCGGACCTTTGGTCGAAACATGTATTGTTTTTGTAATGGTTTTTATTATTATTTTTTTTTTTTTCTTTACCGATTTTAGTCAGAAGTTGCAGTTCAAACTGCGCATGGTGCAAACATTCTGCCAACGTAGTTACTGTTGGTATCAGTGGAACTAAATATTAAATATAAATTGGGTTATTTTTTGGCAAACAGGAAATGTTTTATAGTTGATTCGTTGGATGAATCCCATAGGTGTTCTAAATTCGCTCGATTAGTTGTAGCATAAAATACTTGCGCAAGTTTTCTTCAGCATTTTTTCGACATTCAAGACATTCTCCTTTAGTTTTTGAGGTATCAAGTCGAAACTTGGTAGGAATAATGAACACATTGATGCCTTCAAAATGGCATTTTAAAAGATTTTGTGACTGCTTCCGGAAATTACTGAGACCTTCCGATTTTTTCCGAACATGAATAGTTCTCTCCATTTTAAAACTAGACAAAAAATGACATTTGGTGGTGTTAGTCACAGACAATACCTTCCATTTTCTGAGACCTTGTTTGATAACATTTTTAACCATTTGGTCGCCAATTTTTGAAAACTTAATTTTGTTAATGTTAAAAAGTTTGGTCTTGAAGTATAACTTCATTCAAAATGACAGGTTTTTCCACTCTACTAGGTATTGGATGTTACTGTACTAAATAGTTTATGGCGTAACTTGATTGTTGGCGTGACATTGCATGACCTGACGTAGCGAAACACATCAGTAGGACTACTCCTTCAGAGTTCTAGTTCTGTATTCCATTTGCTTTATATGTGCATATTACCTATATTGTACATATTACCAATGGTAGACTACTTTTTTATATCATTCATGTAGATAGCATCATTTCGGCTGTAGGCCATATATGTGATGTCAACTTTATATAAGTACCAGTAACATCCTATACACGAAAAACAATGCGAACAAGCAAAACTGATTTTGACATTTAGTTAATTTCAAATATAAATTGTGTTTGGAGACATTGAATTAGCTGTCAGTAACAGATTGTGTTCTGCAGTGACAACAGGTTATGAATTGTCCTTCATTTCCGGAAATTCTATTGTGGCCTACTCATCTACACTATTGTGTCTAATGGGAAAGTGTATTTAAAGTAGCTAAGTCTCTAACTGAATATCATCCAAAATCTTCGACATTGAAAACACGATTTATTTGTCGGTTTAAATCAACATTGATGTTGTGATCTTAACGGGAAAAGATGGCCTTCTGATATCCAATATTTATAGACAAAATAAACATTTTACAATTGGTACACGAATCGTGTACCATAATGCGTTTCAGTGCTATTTGTAATAAGGGACTCGAAAAACGAGGCTAGGCATATTCCACAAGTTATGTCAAACAGTGACGCTATATTCTTATCTGGAGAACATGCCCAATAAATACTATCGGCGTAGACTGGAATAACCAGATGCTAGAGATTGAAATTCGATTGAGAATACTGGTGTATTTCGCCGAACCTAACTGATTAGAAATTACAGTAAAGACAGAAACGATTGAATGTAAATCAATTTATATACATTCATATTACATTATTGTATGCGTTGCAACCCATTTGTGTCAATTTCTAGGTCCCAAATATTACCGACTTAGCTCCTTTAATTTTAATTCAAGGGTTTCAAAATCATTTGAAAAGTGAGAACAAACACTTCCTAATTTTATTTGAAAGAAAACTAATCTTTAGATATCTTACTACCTTCGGTGGACGAAGTAACTGACCATACAGTTATTATTATAGCTATATGTGGATGAAACCAGTGAATATATTGCTCGTAACAGGAGTTGAGTTTGGTTATTAACAATTAAATGTAGTATGGTACAGCCACATCATACACCTCTCATATTTTGTGAATCAAAGCCTATCATTGGGAGAAAGTCAATTCAATACATAAGGGCAAAACAAACCCAAAATAGCACCTTTTTTGCCTCTTTAGTATACACAGATACGATTCCCGTCTTAATTCCATACATTTCAATTATTACAGGTGCAAAAAGTATGAGCCATCTGGAATGTGGCTATACTGAAAAAAGTACATATAAGGTTAAGATGAAAGACAAGCTAAGAACTAACACTACTTACGAAGACTGTCATTATCACTAGGGATACCTGGTAGGGATAGAAAACAACATGCAGTGAGTACAATAAAAACAACATAGCAACACAAATAGGGGAGATAACTCTAACACTACAGGGAAAATACTCATTATAATAATAAATAAATTTCACTTAATAATATATTCAGATGTTGTTAAAATTGCATAAAAATGTTAATGTAATTTATGATTGATGATCAAAACCAGCGGTTGCCAGGCAAGATATGCCCACATTTTGCAAGAGATGGATAGAGAACAAGCTAAAAACAAAAGCGATTTTTTGTACAATCAGGGGCCAAGATCCAGAAAGTTATGGTCTGAAATGCGCAAATATCGAAAGGGACGAGATCTTTGGGATATAAAGATATGTTTGAAATTCATCAAAATTGGATAAAAATTGACACCTCTAGAGCGTTCACAACCATCGTATTACATATTTTTTTACACAATTTGCCATTTTGTCGGGCAGTTTCATTTAGATTTTCCCGAAATTCGAAATCAAACTTCATTATGGTGGAATGGTGATATATTTAAACGGTTTTTTTAAAATTGGATAAAAAAATTGTGACCTCTAGAGAATCCACGAGCGAAACCAGCGGCTGCTAGGCAGGATACGCCCACATTTTGCAAGCGATGGATAGAGATCAAGCTAAAAACAAAAACGATTTTTGGGACAATCAGGGGCCATAATCCAGAATGTTATGGTCTGAAATGCGCAAATATCAAAAGGGACTGAGATTTTTGGAATATAAAGATATGTTTCAAGTTTGATCAAAATCCGCTAAAAATTGTGACCTCTAGAGGGTCCATTAACCTTTGTATTACATACTTATACACAATTTGCGTACAAAGAACGGCCATTTTGTCGGTCAGTTTCATTTCAATTTTCCCGAAATTCCAGTTCAACCTTCATTACGGTTTTTAAAATTGGAAAAAATATTGTGACCTCTAGAAAATCCACAAGCTAAAAATGTGATTTTTCGACCAATCAGGGGCCATAATCCAGGAGGATACGTTTGGATATGTGTGATTATCAAAAGGAACCTAGATCTTTTGATAAAAACATATATTTAAAGTTTCAACCAAATCGGATAAAAACTGTGGCCTCTAGAGGACCCACAACCTTGATATACCATATTTTTACACTATTTGCGTACAAAAGGCGGCCAAATTGTGACCTCTAGAGAATCCACAAGCTAAAAATGCAATTTTTCGACCAATCAGGGGCCATAATCCAGGAAGTTATGTTCGGATATGTGTGATTATCAAAAAGAACCAAGATCTTTATGATAAAAACATACATTTAAAGTTTCATCCAAATCGGATAAAAACTGTGGCCTTTAGAGGGCCCACAACCTTGATATACCATATTTTTACACTATTTGCGTACAAAAGGCGGTCATTACGTCCGTCACTTTTTTTCTGATTTTCAGGAAATTCAAACTCAACCATCATTAGTGTATAACTGTGATATATTCACATGTTTTTTTTTTTAAATTGGATAAAAATTGTGACCTCTATAGGGACCACAAGATCTTTGGGTTATTAACATGCATTTCAAGTTTCATCAAAATCGGATTAAAATTGTGACCTCCAGGAGGTCCACAATATTAATATACCAGATGTTTACACTATTTGCGTATGAGGGGCGGCCATTTTGTTCGAAGTTTTGGTCCGATTTTCACGAAATTCAAACTCAACCATCATTAGGGTGCATGTAACGGTGATGTACTAAAAAAGTATTTAAATCAGATAAAAATTGTTACCTCTAGAAGGACCACGGTGATGTCCTAAAAAGGTTTTATAAATCGGATAAAAATGGGACCACAAGCTAAAAGCGTGATTTTTCGTACAATCAGGTGTCATAATTCAGGAAGTTAAAATCCAATATGCGCGAATATCGAAAGGAACCAAGATCTTTGGGTTATAAAGATGTATTTCAGGTTTCATTAATATCAGATGAAAATTGTGACCTCTAGGTGTCCACAAGCTAAAATTGTGATTTTCCGTACAATCAGGGGCCATAATCCATGAAGTTAGGGTCTGCTACATGTCAATATCGAAAGGAACTGAGATCTTTGGGAGATAGACCTATGTTTCCAGTTTCGTCAAAATCGGATAAAAATTGTGACCTGTAGAGTGTCCACAAACAAATGTGAACGGACACCCGGACGGGCGGACAGGGGCAACGACAGTATACATCCACATAAAAATGTGGGCGTATAAAAATCTTTCAAATACATCAGAAAATTCTATATAAAAAACCCCCTCTACATTAACCCAAATAACAAGAATAAAAAATTTGTTGATTGCCCATTTAGACAACAAGCTACAGACAGAAAAGTCAATTCCTTTCCAATGCTTTTGTCATCTGCTTAAATAGGTAGGGTTGACATGGGAGTAATTAATTATTGACCATCATGTCATCTATTTTCGTCAATTCTTTAGAATCATGTTACACAACATTAGGATAGTAAAATCAAGCGTACTGGTGGGACAAGTTTCAATGGTACTTATGTTAAATGATAGAAGAATCAATGAATTGATTAAGTTGTTAGTTTTCTATATTCTACATTAGTATATAAAAAAACATGCAATGATTATTAAATTAAGTTACAACACACATCACAAACTGTTATCTATTGGACTTCAGTCTTTATATTACAATGTTTTAATTTAATAATAACTGTATCTTAGGTACCCAGTAATTAAATTCTTGAGGTTTATTATCTTGGGAAGACATTAATTTTTTTTTTCTTGAAGCCAGAACTCAATATATTGGCATGGCATTAAAATTGATCGTCCACAACTATAATGTAACCACATTAATAAATTAAATTCTTCAAGTTTATTGCCTAAGGAAGTAATTTTTTCTGGAAAATTTGACTCAATATAATGGTAAGCCACTAAAATTGATAGACCATGACCTTCCTATTACTCTATTAATAAATTGAATTCTTGAAGAAGAAATGTTATTATGTGTAGCAGGCCATGCCTTCAATTCATGTTCATATTGAGGGAACCAAATTCTACAAAATACAATTACATGAGAATTAACAACCAATATTCAACCCCTATAAATAATAAGATTTTAAATAAACTGGGAATAAGCTATGAAGTGGTTGTGGGTCGGGGTGAAACAATAAGTAGTCTTTGTCACTCAGACCTCTTTTGGTATTACGTTTTAGTGCATTATATTAATGCTTATTAACATGCGCTCATTCAAAGGACAGCAGGTAGATCGATACTAAAATATCTATTGGCTGAAATTTGTGAAGACGAGACATTATCAATTTTGCAAGGAAATTAATCATATTTCAAATCAATCTGATTAAAATATAGATCTATATTTCGTTTCGTTCTTTATACTTTCGATGGCCTACACAACATCAAGATCTGACCAGTTGGGGTTTTTTTGGGGGTGGGGGGGTGGGGGCTCGTCAGTGGTCATACGAGCGGGTTTTGATTAACCAATCAGCATTGATTTTTCTAGTGGGTTACCCACAGTCTCGTGAAGCTCACGCCAAAAGCTCGCCGTAACTGACCGTTTCATTGGCTAATCCCTCACATCATCCAGAACACGTCAATGATAACAACTCTTCAAGATCCTAGTGTAGTAAAGACAAGTAAATCGAAATTTTGAACTATAAAAAATGAAACGAAATAGGATCTGTGTTTTAATCAGATTTATTTCAAATAACCTTCAAAAATGGAAGGACTGACCAACTTAGTGTAAAATATTTTTCCCGGGCATATGTTAAGACTCCATCAAAAATACTTAGTACAATAATTCATACATTGAAAATTAAAACCTCAATATATCAGCAATGGCATATGTACAGTAGTAAATTCTTAAATTTTGGAAGGTGAAGGGTTTGAAATGAAATGAAATACGGTTTAATATCCTACTTTTCTACCCCAGGTGAATGGATAAGTTGTATGTTTATCACACACTATGCAGATTAGTAACTGAGATATGACTGTTTGATCAAATCTATGTATAATCAGCATATTGCTCTTATTTCATAATCATAAATAACTGAGCGATTGCACTTTACAATACACCCGGTGGTCATTACACTAATCTTTAAACTGATTATAATACAGTGACAAAGACTAAATATTATTTATTTTTAAAATAAAATATATGGTAAAAAGTGATTTGCAGTGGTGATTATAAGGTTCTGGTAATTGAAACATTGTATTAGAAAGGTGAATATATCTAAAAACACTCAACACCAGATGATAAAAAAAAATAAATCAAACCTTCATTTCCAGCTAAACCCTCTGTAATACACAGAACCAAAACAATACCATTAACATATAATATTGGACTTGAACCAGAATTAAATTTCCAACGAATAGTTCCAAGGGGAAATGTGAAATAAATCATAATAATATGATCCTCCCAAGTATTTTTTGGTCAAAACTATAGATTGCAATGATCAACTTCTTAGAGTTTGCTATTGTTAAGGATCAGTGTCATTCTCCAAAAGGTATATACTTCAATGACAACATAAATAAATAAAGGACTTGGGGCTTCATGTTAAGATTAAGAAAAATGGAAGGAAAACGCCCCCGCAAAATCGATAATATAATAGCAAAATCATAAACACCTTCCTACCCTTCAAAGACCAGTCTGTGGGTAAGTAAATGATGATTAGGCTTGAAACAGATACATGGATGTATCAATGTAACTATCAACATTAATAGGCAGGGATTAAGCAAACAACAAATTGTGTTCAAGGGAAGAGAAGTGGTTTTCAATTATGAACATTTTAGTTAGCAAACAATAAATAAATTGTGCTCAAGGAAGGGAATGGTCAGTTTTAAAATATGAGTATTTCAGGAGAAAAAATTATAAAGATATCATGCCATGTACCATAAGTAAAACAGGTCATGTTACAGGGATAGATTGGTGTCACATTTCATCAAATTCTATGGAGATGGTTTTCCATAAATCTGTTATATATGAAAACTTTTCTGGGAGAAGAAATGATAGGGTACAGAATCTATTTTCCTTGTATCTAATTTTTATTAGTGATTTTATGAAATGCTGCTATTTCAAAATAATTGTCTTTCTTTATTAAAATAAATACAGCAGTATGTTTAGAAACCTTTAATTATATTTTTAAATCAATCATCTTCATCCAAATCAATTAATTGCTGTGCACAGTATTTTCATCGAAATCAGTTAATCACTGCATTTTTATCGAAATCAATTAATCACAGCAGTATTTTCATTCAAATTGATTAATCGCTGCATATTTTTTATACAAATCAATTAAAGATAGTTCTCACTATAATAGTTAAAAACTAGATAATGATCATCATTACTAAAGTCAGTACGATAAACAACATAGTCTCGATTATCCATTTAATCATTAAATCGTGAAGGAAAGTTATGCAGGAAATTGGCTCATAATCCACTAAAGATCGCAGGCTAGCGATGCCATCGAGAGTTGATTATGGTCTGGATAGGTTAATTAATGTCTAATTAATAATTTAAATAACATTTCAGGCCTAAAGAAAGACCTGCAATAGACAGATTTAGCTCTTGCATAATGTATGTTTAATCACTGCAGTAATTTCCTCAAATTTTTATTCTAAATCAATCACTGTTGTATTTATATCTTGAAAGCAATTACAGCAGTATTTTGATCTAATTAAACCAAAGGATAAAAACAGTTTCTGTCCCCTTCATTTATATGCCAGTATTAATAGCCAAAGGTTAAGTAAAACTTACGTTCATCAGCACTAACATCTTCACTACCACTCTGATCTTTACTCTTCATAAATGGAAATTTACGTGTGAAGGAGAAATTTTTCTTTTTTCTATCATTGGCAGCAGCTTGCTGAAATAATGAAAGTACAATAAGAATGATAAATATTTAACATCCCATATTACACACAAATAACTAGAACTGCGATGCAGTAATGACAGGTTTCACTGTCACGTTACAATTGAACTTATGTCACTTTCGATGCCACGTCAAAAGCATTAAACAGATTTTCACACATAAGCATTGCACACGTTATAAAATGGACGCTGAATCAACCAAATCCAGCAATATTAATTTCATTTATACATTTGTTACCATTACCATGTGTTACACATGTCAAAAGATAGGTTGCCAGGCAACAAAACACACGCCCACAGCAGCTAAATCATCCGAGCAGTCGACAAGGGTTGTCGCATATTTATTCTATTGTAGGTAATTAGGGGAATAAAATAGACAATTTCATACAGATGACATTATAATTTTCGTCGTTTGAGGGTTCACAAGGTTCTAAAAACTAAAACAAAGTAATCTACAGAAATTGTTGAAATTCAACAGGCTTTTTCGTTTTACTAATTCAAATAATGCATATAAATTTCATACAGATCGGATGCTAACTTTTGTCGTTTGAATGTTCACAAGGTTCAACAAAGTAAAACAAGGGCCATAACTCTAGAAGTAATTGATGGAAATTGCTAATATTCAATAGGCTTCTTCATTTCACTAATTTAATTGATGCATATGAATTTCAAACTTTTGTCATTCAAGCGTTCACAAGATTCAACAAAGTGAAACAAGGGCCATAACTCTAGATGTAATTAACGGAAATTGCTGAAATTCAATAGGCTTCTTTGTTTTACTAATTTAAATGATGCATATAAATCTCATACAGATTGGATGATAACTTTTGGCGTAAAGTCAAACAAGGGCCATAACTCTAGAAATAATGAACAGAAATTAAACAGGCTTCTTCATCTCACGAATGTAAACCACAGACAGGGACGACTGTAATATACGTCCACATTTCCATGTGGGCGTGTGTGAAATCCTTAAACCAGCAGCCGCCAGGCAGGATACGCCCACATTTTGCAAGAGATGGATAGAGAACAAGCTAAACAAAAAGCGATTTTCGTACAATCAGGGGCCATAATTCAGGAAGTTACTATCTGATATGCGCAAATATCGAATCAGGGGCCATAATTCAGGAAGTTACTATCTGATATGCACAAATATCGAAAGGCACCAAGATCTTTGGGTTAAAAACTTACATATACCATATTTTTTACGCTATTTGAGTATGAGGGGCGGCCATTTTGTCTGTCAGTTTTGGTCTGATTTTCACGAAATTCGAACTCAACCATTCTTAGGGTGTAAAGGTGATATATTCAAACATTTTTTTAAATCGGATAATAATTGTGACCTCTAGAGGGATCTCAAGCTAAATATGTGATTTTTCGTACAATCAGGGGCCATAATTCAGGAAGTTACGATCCGATATGCACGAATGTCGAAAGGAAACAAGATTTTTGGGTTATAAACTTAACAAAATCGGATAAAAATTGTGACCTCTATAGGCTCCACAAGCTAAAAACGTGATTTTTCGTACAATCAGGCCATAATTCATGAAGTTTTTGTCCGATACATGCCAATATCGAAAACAACCGAGATAAAACTCTATTTCAAGTTTCGTCAAAATCGGATAAGGATTGTGACCTGTAGAGTGTCCACAAACAATTGTGTCCGGACGGACAGGGGCGAAGGCAATATACGCCCACATGAAAATGTGGGCGTATAAAAATAGGTTGCTAGGCAACAAAAGACATGCCCACATCTGATAAGTCATACGAACAGTCAACATAGGTTTTCGAAAATTTATTCTTTTATAGGTAATGGGAGCATACAGGTCACTAAAAACTGATCAACTGTAACAATCCATGAAATCAGATTTGGATCAATTTCACAGGAACTGGTCTATAAAACTTGTATACAAGATGAAGAAACAAATGAGTGATGTGTTGAATGGATGTTCATACTGAATGTTAACAGCTGCATAACTAACAATTCAACATATTTTCCAATCTTAAAGTGTCAAAAATTGTGTATGAATCAGTTAACTGGCTAGGTTTATAAAAATCGAGAAGCGGACTACAAAATATTTTGAATGGTATATATCCTTGTAAAAAGTAGAGATTTTTGTTCTCACCTGTGAGCTTACTTTATCATTACTTGTACTATTTTTACCAGTAAATTTAACATTTTTTAATCTCGCTCTTTCTTTTCTATCAACGCTGAAATAAAAACCACATACTTTACATACAGAAAAATCCTTGTTTGAGCATACATTTCTATGCAACTGTGTAAATGATATGTTCATACATGGGGAGGGCCTTGTAGGATGTGAAACCCCATTTCACTTCACATGGGGAGGGAGCATGATAAATCTATAGCCAAACACTTACATCGTGGATCGTCTCCTCAGGTTGTTTGTCAGGTCTTGAAGCAGACACTTTATCCCAGTATTTCAGTCTACCAAGATCTAATTGGGAAGTGGTTAGACAGTGCAAGATAATTTAAATTCAGCACAAACATTCTGTATGATACAGATAAATGACCTCTAATGGGAGGCAATAGTTAATGAAATGCAGATCATTGGGTGACTCCCAGAGCCAGACAAATGACATTAAAATTACATTACTTATAACAGTATTTCAAGTTACATTACCACACTAACTTACCGAGATTTTGATGGAATTATGCCGATACCCTCTTCTTCTCCTTCTGGAGTTATCCTCCTTGCTTGCCACCATTCATCATCGGAAGCATTTGTTACATGTAAAATATCACCATATTTAAAAGCTAAACCTTTACTTGGTAAACCACTATCTTTTTTAGGATCATATTCAAATAAAGCTCTGAAATTAGAAATATGATCACACAATAATACACTTTTATGAGTGAATGAGAGAGAGATAGAATAGAACGAGAGAGTTGGGGTCTTTAGCAGTGGGAGGAAACCGGACAATGAAATGAAATGGTGTTTAACGTCCTAATGTTCTGCTCCGAATTGGGCTAATGAAGTTAGGCATACGTCATACAGTGTGCTATGAGGGAAATTTTGCCTGGACAGCGGCACTACAGCCTACTCTTACATCAAATTCCAACTGTCAGGGGATCTTTTACGTGCACGCCAATGTGTACACGGGACCTCAGTTGTTAAATCAGTATCTTAATCTTATAATAAGTTGTCTCTGTGACTGTGACTAATGTGCAGTATCCATAACAACTGCCATATGTAGGTTCTCTACCTACATGTACTATTATACCAAACATAGTGGGCTTTCTCACACTTCCATGCAAAAAGAATATGGTACATGTATGTAGCATACAATCAAGAGAATGAAAATAGCTGCCATATTTACCTGACATATAAAGATCTTTTCTGTGTTGTGCGTAAACTACCAGAACTTGTGTTCATCATTTGTTCTCTTAAATCTTGTATTTTAGCTTCAAACCGATTATATTCTGTCAAAATATAAAACAAATCAATTACCGATATATTCTTTCAAACTATGCAATACACTAGGTTTTTAAAAATATCATAAAACAAACTATTTCTGTCAATACAATATATAAATATCATATTCTACCATGATATAAAACAATAGAACATATCAATAGAACATATCAATTATATTCTGTCAATACATCAATATCTATATTCTATCACAATATAAAACAAATCAATTCTATCGATAGAACATATCAATTATATTCTAAATTATATTAATTATTCTAAACATACAACAAATCAATTTTCTCACTAGGGACTACAACATATCACTTATGTTCCATATTATATTCCATATCATAAACAACAAACTAATTATATCAATACAACAAATCAAGTATATTCTTTCAAATTATTCAGCTGACTGTATTATTTCAAGCTATAAGAAACATTCCTTCAAACCATTCATTAATCTCATTATATTACTTTTATACAATAAATGAGTTACATTCAAAATATATATGTACACAACAAACCAATTATATTCTCTCAAAATATATAACTTATTCTGTTTTGTCAAAATAGATGTATAAAACAACCCAAATTTAGGATAAGTCATCATTGCCACATAAAAACTATAATTAAAATGAAATAGACTCCAGCTTTCCATCAACCCAAGAGATGCATCTACAATCTAATTCAAATGATACACACATATTCCAAATGTATACATCAACTGTACATAAATAAACTATATTAGAAACAAAATCCACTTAAAGTGGCAGTTCTGCTATCTCAGACATTTTGATATTAAACTTTAGATTGATTGGGAAACCTCTAAAGATAGGATTTCATGGTTTTACAAGGGGGAATATCATTAAAGATACATTATGTAAGATTTAGATAAAGAGCTTGAAGTTCTCGCTATAATAGTTTGTAGTTTTGACAAATGCATCTTTTGTTTATTATCGTACCCACGGTACTGGTATATTCGAGTCTTAGCATCGCTTCTCCATTTTTAAATTAAATCATTAAATTGCTGAAGAAATCTAATCTAGTAAAAATCTTTAGCATCTGATGACATCCAGAGTTGATTATGGTCTTGTCATGTTAATAAATGTATAATTAATAATTTATATAACCTTTAAGGCCTAAAGAAAGACCTGCAATAGGCATATTTAGCTCTTGAATAATGTATCTTTAATATAAAAATCATATAACTAAATTAAAAGATTTTTTCGATACAACTTAATACAAGTACATGGCAGTATCATTGATATATTTCAATGTTTTGAATATTTTCAAACTGTCAATTTAAATACATTACAAACAGATAAAAACTTCAATTTTTTGGAACTCCTTAAAACCAAACAGCCACTTTAAATGTATATTACATATAAACATTTTTCTTTTAAATAAAGATAAAAGATAAACTATAAATGTATAAGTTGGACATAAACTATGACATTTTTCATCTCTTTATTTATTTAAACAAAATAGTTCCCTCCCCACTAAATCTATTGTTGCAAAGCAGAATAATTATAATTAAAGTTATTTTAAGGAAGATTTGCAAAGTTTTATTACATTTATGTTATATATTTGACAAAGAGAACCTATTTTTATCTGAACGTATATTTTTAAGGACCATGGAAAATAATATTAATATAGACGAAAATTATATCAATAAGCTTACACCCACAATAAAATAAATAAGTCAATATAAAATCTTTACTTAAAGTCAATATAAACTGTTGAATTGTGTTGATCTGACGTGTTATATCTATTAATGGTGCAATAATCTCTATACAATTAAATATTTGTTTCAAACACAGATCGAAAGTCAAGGTCTTCACTAAGTTTAATTTTGGCACACTGTGTCAACAGTAGAAAACAAAATCAACTTTATTTACACCTAGCTTTATCTACTTAGAAATAAAATGTTAAAAGAAGGCATATTGTCACTTCACAAACCAAATCAGAGTTATAAACAATTTATTATGTCATGTGTATCCGATGGTTATATATATTAAGGAACCTGGCTGTTGAGAAAATATATAATTTTTTTCACTTCATTGATTGTATCCTCCACGATAAAATATCTTTATGTTTAGATCTAATTTTGATGAAATCAGTTTATTGGTGCGCAGATCTATCAAGAATTGTAACTAACTTAACCCTTATCACGTCATTTAAAATGAGTAATTTTATTATCACAAATTTTTTTATATTTTGTACAACTCCGTGAGAAATAATCATGCACTTTTCAATCAAATTATTCTTGTTCACAGAAATCTGATGTGAAAAACTTTAATTCATATTACTAGGTACTTCACAGGTGTACAAAAATAGCTCACAGTATAATTGAAATATTTGATCATAAACACGAAAAATATGCTTACAAGTCAAGTTCTTACAGATATTACTGCCGCCAGTCAGAAAAATACCTCATTCTTTGTATGGCACCATAAAAGTAGGCTATATTCATTTTATGGTATTTTTTTTATATTATGCAATATCAAGTTGTTATTTTTGGTTACGAAAAGTACACATAAAACCTTCTACCAAAACAAATAATGTTGTCCAACCCCACGATTCACACTCAAGCCTGATGTGCAATAGGTCTGACCAATTTCATAATATAATCTTTTACGGATCTTAATATATGACCTTTATAGACTTGAAGATGGCTGTATAAAATTTTGCCTAATAATTTTGACTGAAAGAATGTCATTTTCCCACTTTTGCAGATTCAGCAATGTTTCTTCTACTCACTAATTTGAATAAGGCATCCATTTAAAGTAGATCTGATGATAATTTATGTCCACTACAGTATTTACAAGATTCTACAAAGTAAACAAGGATAATAACACTAGAAGTAATTAATGGAACTTGATGAAATTCATTTCACCAATCTGGACAAAGTATATCAAAAATATAACTCTGCAAATGCAAAGGGCAAAACGTGCTCCAAAACACACACATATTCATACCGCCAAATTAAACTTGCAGTACAACACTTTTAAAACAGCAACAGTCAAACAATTGTCATCAATTTGTATTCAAAATATCTCAGTTACGCCTACCTGTAACTAGTAGTATACCCCCTAACATGTATTAAAATTAAACACATGTTGATGAATGACTAACTGGCAAAAGATAGTGATAATATCAACAGATAAGCTAACAATTTATATCTTAAGTCTTCGCTAAACATAGTAATTTTACACTCATATGACCTACTCATATTTACGTCACAGGTACATATACCGGTAACATGACAGACTGTTGAATTATGTACAAATTATACCTTTTAAAATGGCTGTAAATTCAACATTTACTATATGAAGATCCAATTCACTTTGACCTATTTTGATCTCCCTTTACCTCAATGAAAGCAGAAGCAAATTTCTCAATAATAAACTAATCCATTGAAGTTGTGCAGAATTCACATATTCTTACTCCTAACAGTTTAAGACTCCAACATCAACTACTTCCTCTTGTGCCAGATGTTTGGAAGTATACAAGATGTAGTAAGTTATATGTTTAATGTTATCAAAGATAAAAACATCTTTAATACATGTAATTTATACTCTGAAGCTAGATGGTGCAAACCTCTAGCATTCCAACTTTACTTTTTTTTTTTATCCTTGTCCTGAACCTGATTTCAACAAGAGTAACACTGAAGGATGGCCAACACAAAGTTCTATTCTAGTAACAAATTTGTAACGTGATATTAGAACGATTTGGGTGTATCATAGTTTTACTCAACAGTGTTTTCAATAATCTCTACCACAAAATCCAATGCATTAGTTAAAGGAACAAGATCCCTTTTGTTTCAAGAGGCCTTAGTAAGACATTGGTTAATAGTACATCTACAATGAAAGTTTGTATGGATATTACTTCCTACAATGGTACAATATTAAAATCGCCTTTCATAACTTAAGTCGCTGATCGGCATATTTGAGTGATTGTGATGGGTTTACAAGCTTAAAATTTTATTTCCGAAAAGTAAATAGAAGTTGTTTGGGTTTTTTTGGTTAAATGTATGTCTATTGATAGTAAAATCTGGTATTATGGTTCACATTAAAATTACTTAAAAACCTGAATCAAATTGGGTTCATATCAATGTCTGCATTCGCATTAACAGGATTAGATTTAATTTAAATCGGCGAAATGGTTTAATCTGTTTCGAAAAATGTCATATGATCTTGGCATGATAAAAATGACAATGTCAGTTATATCTTGTGAGAAGCAGACAGTCTTGTATCAAGAATTAACAAATTATTACATTCAAGAGAGATGTGAACCAAACTGTCTGAACAAGACCCGACTTTTTACCTGAGGCAATTTACTATCCAATTATGAACGCAGCTTAAATTTATAGACATTAAACTTGCAAAAAGAAAAGAGCTCCATTTCACGATACAAATTAAAACATCAGAGTCAATCAAACCAACATTGTCATTTTCACACAAATCCAAATCCAGGTCATATATCTTTTTAAATTCAAGGTCATATGCAACCTTTCAAAATTGAGATTAATAAATATGAAAATACCTTCAGGTTTATATTGAGCAATAACTTCCACCACATCACCTGCACTTTTTAAAGCTGCTGCCGCCTCTTCATGTGTGGCAATCCGTAAATCTACTTCATTTACCTGTTAATCAACAAAATAAACTTAATTACCTCTAGGTTTATTAGGTTATAGTTCATACATATTCTTCAAAGAGAGGGAATCAGTATGGTCGGTGTAGGTGGCAGTGGTGTAGCGATAGTTTTCAGTGGCCTGGGGCAAAGACACTTTTGGCAACCCGACACAGTTATTTGACTAAATAACTATGCCAATTAAATGTTATATATGTTATATATTTCAGCAGAAATGTAAATCAGGATGGTTTTGCCCCTGCACACAGGGATGATTGCACCCCATCCCCTTTGCACCCACCTGGTTACGCTACTAGAGAATGAAGTTGTTCAAATGAAAAGCCTAAAATATACCCAAAATGAACATTTAACATTTAATTCAGAAAACATAACCAAAAGATCAATGGTAGATAATCTCAAGGCTTTGATTAAATCGGATTAAAAAGCCAATCACAGGTGGTGCTTGCTTGTTTATATCATCCGCAGAGTATGCCTAACATTAGTAACATTGAGATATTGCCAAGTCATCATATCTGCAAATACTGAATGGAATTGAACCATTTTTGGACTGATAAACCTTTTTTGATATTCAAGTTTCAAATATTCTAGTTGCATTGGATTTAAAGTCCCCCAAATAGCAATAAGCAGCTTAAAGTGTACAGGTTGTCTTAAAAATGAAATCTAATGCAAAAAAAACAATCAGGATGTAAATCTTACATTTTAAATTATTAATATTATTAATACCAGCGGCTGCCAGGCAGGATACGCCCACATTTTGCAAGAGATAGATAGAGAACAAGCTAAACAAAAAGCAATTTTTCGTACAATCAAGGGCCATAATTTAGGAAGTTACAATCCGATATATTTACACTATTTGCGTATGAGGGCGGCTATTTTGGTCTGATTTTCACGAAATTAGAACTCAGTCGTCGTTAGGGTATAATGGTGAAATATTCAAACATTTTTTTCAATCAGATAAAAATTGTGACCTCTAGAGGGACCACAAGCTAAAAATGTGAATTTTCGTACAATCAAGGGCCATAATTCAGGAAGTTACCAAAATCTTTGGGTTATAAACATGTATTTCAAGTTTCATCAAAATCAGATCAAAATTGTGGCCTCTAGAGTGTCCACAACCTTGATATACCATATATACACTATTTTCATACGAGGGGTGGCCATATTTGTTATTGAGTTATCTAAAAATCATTATACACTGCTTCAATTTATCTATGGATGAGGGTTGAAACAAATCGTAAATTGCTAGGATTTGACACCACATCGACTTACACTGTAGTCTGTCTAAAATGGTATAGACTTGATCAGAAAAATGCAAGCTGACAACAAAATAAAAAAATAACATAAGTTCATAAAATTTAGACCTTTTTTTTTTATCATTAAACTATTTACACACTTCAACTACCACAGATAATCTACTTATGATGCAAAAATAGACACTATAGAATAAAAGTCTGTTGTAGGTTTCTTTATCCAGATCTGATAATAAGGGTTGTCTTAATAAGGCTATTTATATCTCAAAACTTTATAAAGTCAGCAGAGTCTTCATAAGATAACAGTTAATAGAATTTATCTTCTAACTGATAGGCCACTCTCAAGTTATTTTAACATGTAATTTAACACCTTGTACATGTTTAGAAAATCTGTTTTTCTCTGAATATTCAATTAGAGAAAGTGATGCAGATGGAAAGATACAGTGTATGGTGCACCAAACAAAGTCTTCCAGACCTCACATCCCAGCTAAATCATTTTAGAGTCAAATGTTCACTGAATTAGACTAAGCAAAGTTGCAAATTATATCTATCATTGTTACTAATATTAGATATTTTTTCTATACATCTATCATAAACATACCAATAGATATAGTCCGGCAGCAGGTCGACAAACCTGGAAATATACCGGTAGTCCACCTAATGTTTTTTGATAGATTATATATCTTCAATATGTCGTCGCAGGGTGTCAAAAAACTGTGCCTATTTGTTTAGTTGGAATCGTGAATGTATAACTAAAACTTTAAAGATAGGTTGCCAGGCAACGAAACATTGGCCCACAGCAGCTAAGTCATCTGAACAGTCAACAAGAGTCGTCGCATATTTTTTCTATTGTCAGTAATGAAACATCTATAATACACTAAAATCTGATTAAGTAATTATCAGAGAATCATTAGAATTTGTTTGGATTTAAGTTTTGCCCCATGCTAACGTTTAGTATAAAACATTTAATATCATGGATTTAGCTGTTCAAGTTATCAAAATTTATAGAAAATCAATATACTTAAGTTCATCTCAAGACCTTAAACTCTGTTTATCAATCTAAAGTCAATCAGATGATAACTTTGGTCTCTGGAACATCCACAAGATTTTTCAAAGTGATCAAGGGCCATAACCCTGGTAGTAATTATCGGAAATCGTTGAAAATTAATAGACTTCTTCGTCTCATGACCTTAAACACTGTGTATAAATTTAAGGTCAATCGGATATTAAAGTAGCTAAGTCCGTAACTCAAAATCCTCCAAAATCTTCGACATCGAAAACATGAATTATTGGTCAATTTAAATCAACATTGATGATGTAAACTGACCGGGAAAAGATGAGCTTCTGATATCCGATATTTAAGACAAAATAATTTTTTTAACATTGGTAGACGAATCGTGTACCATAATGCGCTTCAGCCCCAGTTGTATTGAGAGACGCGAGGGACAAGGCTAGACACATTGCACCAAATCAAATGGAGTTCTGTAGACTAGAATAACTAGACGCTAGAAATTTGCACTCGATTGAGATTGCTGACTTATTTCGCCGAACATAACTGATTTGAAATTGGAGTAAATACGGAAACCATTAAATGTAAATCAGTTTATATACATTCATATTACAGTATTATATGCGTTGCGACCCAATTTTGTGAATTTCTAGGTCCCAAATGTTAGCGACTTAGCTCCTTTAACTTTAGCCTCTAGAGCGTCCACAAGCGACAATAATATACGACCACATTTCATGATAACAGGAAGTGACATCATCTACGAAAATAGACCAATATTAGACATCAAAGTAAACTTTTTTGTTTTTCAACCAATTTGAATGCGCTTTTCACCAATTTGTAGCTGTTTGTATTTCTCAATTATTATGTCCGGGCATTGTGGCCTCTACGACGCATGTGTATGGCCCAATTTTAAGCTCAAACGTGAACATTCTGAGCGTAACTTTTTTATTTTTGAAAATGAAATGGAGTTTAACGTCCTACTGTTCTGGGCTTATGAAGACGGGCATTTTATTTTTTAAGATTTCGACTTGAAACGTTCAGAATACATTACAAATGGGTGGATTAGGCCAAAAACGTCAACAAAAATTTTCTGATTATCTCCCCTTTGAAGATGAAGTCAACTTTTCAATTTCTTTAATTTTGCCTTATTTAAAAATATTTGTCAATACATTACGAGTCGTTGAAAATGTAAGTCAATCTTTATAATCCTACTTGAGCTACAATTTTTATCCAATTTTCAATATCGTCATATTTTCGGAAAGCATTCACAATTCGCAATCGATATTTGACCTAGATTTTTTTAAAATGACGTCATAAAATTGATTCTTTTTTTAAAAATAGTGTAAGACTTGGAAATCAGGTGATATGTCAATGGCAAATGATCAATTGAGTCATATGGTGCATATTCTGAAATTTTTATCAAAAAAAACCACAAATATAAACAAATGTTCTGTGCAACTTTTAAAAATATTAATGTGATAGATTATGGCACACCACCTTTAATATTGGTTATGTTTACGGTATTTTAAATGTTTACTGAAATATGTGTTTTTGGCTTCTACAGTGAAAATAAGTCATTTTAGTATGTAATTGTTTGCCAACGAATTTATATGACTGAATCAGTTAGTCTACGTAGCTCAGTAAGCATGCTAGCAAGGTCGCCATGAGTTTGATCCCGGTGTTTGCAATTTAATTTTTTTCTAAATTTGATCAAGTCATGACGTCAGTTGAGTAAGTAATTGTTTGCCATCAATTTTATATGACATATCTTTTGTCTACATGTACACAATGTCTTCTTTGAATACCAGTAAAGCTACACCAGTAAAGCTACAGCTAACGTGTCCTGCTGTTTTAAAGTATAAGTAAAACGATTGTCTCATACTTTGAAGATGTATAGGTGTCGTTTAGAACACTGGAGCCTTTTCTAGCTTTGGTCGGTCAAAATGGGTTTCATCATGGTTGAAAATATAATCTTACTTTATTTTTCAAAAGACCCACAGTGGCTCAGTGAGTAATGCACTGCCTCGCTAACCAGGAAGTTGGCTACCGGTATTGACCGAAGAGTTCCTTGTGCGTTCCTCTTGTCACCAGAGAGGGGGGAGAGATCTGGGGTAACGTCCACTCAACACAAACTAGGTCATTTCGGGAAATTAATCTATAACTGTATGATTGGGTTGTATAAAAACTATTAAAACTGTTTCGAGAACAGGTCTAGTTCATTTTCTAATCGCTAAAGCGTACATGGTAGAACCAAATGAAACGATTTATCATGTATTGGGAGTACAGATATTAAAATCATGTAAGTTTTGTTGTATTCTGGCATATTGGAAATTCAACCAAAATTTTTTTCCATAATTTTGAGATACGAGTTGAGCGAGACTTTCTTACCTACATGTAACATTTTGGTTGAAACTGTCAATTTTTGAAGATTCAATTTTGATGACGGGAAAAGATAACAATAATTGTTCTGTAATAAGGGGTTTCAGACTATAGCTAATGTCCATCATCTGCTTCTAAACTCTTTAGTTATGACGATTAAGACAGGAAGATTTGAAATAGATGGGGTTTAATGTCTCATCAACACAATACTTGGGTCATATTGAGACAACCATTATTATTTTGTAGTAATCGTATCTTTACGATTACATGAGAAATGCGAGGTAGGAGAATGTTGCCCGGACTACTATCCTTCGATTTCCAATCGACAAGGGGTTCTTTCCATCGGTTTTGTGC